CATTTTGACTGAGTCCTTACTCATTTTTGTTAACAACCCTGTTGTACTGGAACTCTCGATGAGGAGAGCTTTGGCGAAATCCGCATATCGAGTCATACCACTCTTGTCGTCCAGATTGCGTGTACTTGAGGTGAGTTTGAGTAACTGGAATGAAGGTGGGAAAGGAGATTCATATGGTATAGCACTGCTGTCATTCACTTTCTGACGGAATAGTTAGTTGAATGCTTGGGACAGAACTGATTCATCGTGTGGGTCACCATCTGTGCAGCTGGTAACTTTTCCAGTTACTTTGATAAGTGCTTCGATGTCTGGTCATTAGTTTGCCGTTGACCTCTACGTTCGTTTTGCCTCCTGAAGGGTTACCATCTCTCTGTTTAAAAATCCTGTAAAGGCAGAAGTACTTTACAATATTTTTGCTATTTTGAGATGTGACTGGTGTGTGTGTATGTGCGTGTGCGTGTGTGGGTGTGTATGTGCATAGGAGTGTATGCATCAGCGTACGGAATATTTCCTAGATGTAGATTTTATCAACTTTGAGTTGGCACAGATGACACAGTAAATCTGCACTGTTATGAAAATTTATTGCGATCCTATGACTTCTTATAATTGCCTTTCTTCCTAATTTCAGGTTTATCAAAGCGAACAGCTCCTGTTAAAGATATCGCAGCAAAAGAATCCGTCGCGAATGTGACTGTCACTGGTACGCCGCCTTCACGAGCTGCTGAGGTAATAGAAAGACGAAGCTTTTTTTATTATGATAAAATGTGGGATGCAAATGAGTATAAAATCGTTTTTTTTTTGCGTCAATTTTTTAAAGCGTCGCGTGCCAGGTAACAGTTGCTTTACACGCAGTTTAAAACTGTAAATTTGCTTTACAGCTGCTTCACCTACTCCTTGCTCACTCCATAAGTGTATAGTTTAACATGATTCTCAACAACAGCATGCTTGATGAAAGGGAAAAGAGAACTTGTTTCTGCATCACTGCTTTTTGAGAAATCTTGCGTATAAGGCGGGGAAGATTCTGCATCACAGATCAATTTGTTTCGGATCAGGCACATCCCATTATATTTAGAGCATCTTGTTTGGTTTAGTTATAGAATTTTTCAAATGCTTGTTTTCGCAGAAGACATTATGTTCATGGCAAGAAACTCACTCACTGCCGAATTGTTCTTTGCCCTTCTATCAAATGCGAAAAAATTAAGTCTGAATTGGCAGAAAAAAAGTGGATGAAAAATGTTTATTACCAGTGCCTACAGCTCGATCTGAAGTGTCATTCAGTGTTGTTTGGTCATGGCTCTATGGGAAGGAAAACCCAGGTTGGAACGCACCGGGCGGGCCGGTGCGATCATGCGTTTTTGCACCGGACTTGAATTACTCAGGTCATTAGCTGTATGAATGACTGTTGCTTTACACTTCCTTTTTGGGGTCACCAGCATAAATCAATATAAATTTTGCAAAGTAAATATATAATTTCCATTTAACAGTCGTTCTTTAAAAGCAACCTAGTTGTTCAGTGAGAAATTTTTGCGTCAAGACTTTCAAGCGCTCGTACTTAAGAATCACGAATATCTCAACGCTGGATTTGAAATATTTAAGTTGTACTTGGACAGGGAACATTCCCTCAAAATTTCAGCCTCCTAGCTTTTCTGGTTGCCGAGTTAGCAGTTCTCCCGCCAAAACTCTCACACACCCGTACTTGGATACTCCACGTGCTTGGAAAGCTGAATTTGGAATTTTTAAATTGCACTATGGACAGGGAACATCAGCCTAAAATTTCAGCCTTCCAGCTGTTCTGGTCGCCGAGTTAGTAATTTTCCTGCAGAAACTTTTATATGCCCTTACGTGAGTACCATGCATAGCTTGGCTGTGAATGAAATATTCTTGAGTTGTACTTTGATAGGGGACACTCCTGCAAAATTTCAGCTTTCTAGCTTTCCTGGTACCTGAGTTAGCAATTTTCCCCCTAAAACTTTCATACACCCTTATGTGAGTACCACGTGCAACTGGGGGCTGAATTTGAAATCTTTAGCTAGTACATGCACAGGGAATATCCTTACAAAGTTTCAGCCCCTTAGCTCATGTGGTTCCCAAGATCGCTTTCCCGCCAAAAAATTTGCATATTTTTTTTAAAACATCCGTACGCGGCACCCAGGCGTCATCCCCCTGGATGAAATTAAAACGGGAGGGTCGCGCATGGTATAGGCACATATCCCCAAAGTTTCAGCTTTCTA